AAGCGACTTAGCATGCGTCACCATTTATGTTTTATGGCTTGGTTTTATTGTTATTTATATTTAATTTCATGCTGAAAAGTTTATAATTTACTTTTATTTTGTTTTTCACAATCATAAAATAGAATATGAACACAAAAAAATAGATCATAATAGAAATGTTCTAAAAAATTAAATTTACCACTTGTATCTTTAAAGCGCATTATTAAAAATAGGGGCGGTGCCACACCCATTTTTTTCATAATTTGACTTTCTATATGTTATATCTACCCAAAACAAAAAACCGAATTAAAAAATCTTGTTCCGTTTAGAAGTTATTAATTTTGGCCAACGAAAGTGGTCGGCTGGACCATAGTGCAAGGTAGGAAATTGGCTTAGCACTGAACATTTCAGCGGAAAAAGTGTCTTGAAACAAGTAATATATAGTATATTTATGCTACTGATTTTATTTTGTTAATTTTATATAATTTTTAAGACCTATAGGTTAACAAATTTGTTACTATTGTTTATTATAATGTTATTCTACAGGATTATCTTGTTATGAGTTGGGAGGAATTAGTTTTAATTTGAAATTAAAAAATATATCGCATTGTTTATCTTCACCGCAATACCTCCCTTCTTTACCATCCCAACAAAGTAATTAGCGTTTCATAAAGAAATGCAGAATATAGAATTAATTTATTAAAAAATATTAGCACAAAAACTTTTTTTGTTCTGATTTTATAATTAATTAAAATCTTAAATAAAAGGTAATATTTTATAATAATAATAGTAAATGTTAATATTAATATTTATTAATATTTTTATTAATATTAAAAATATATGGTATATAATTTAGTTATTCAAAAGAATAATTTATAGTCAATGTCAACCCTGGAAGCTATTGACTTCTGAAATTGTATATCTTTTTAGAAGGCTTGTAAATGCATACAACGGATTCCGGCAGAAAACTGATATGATCAATTCGTGCACTAAACTTGAGTCATTATCAAAATTAAATGTGGTTTCGTGAATATATACATATGTACATTTGGTGTCTATGCGTACTACATTGATTGTTGTCGATAGTCAGCTGTTTATACCCGTCATTCGTAGAGGAAAAGGTTATAGCAGATTTAATACATTAAATGTTACAAGCAATTTCGATCCATTGATCAGACAGATATATGTGACGACGATCCAGCATCGGAGTCCTCAACTGGACTTTCTGCGAAACGTTTCCTGGCGCGTGGCATGATTCCTCAATTATTCAACCAATCTGCTTGCCACTCAAAAAACGCTGTGTCATTCATTTTCAACTCCTCTTTACCTTGCAACACACACGCAGGTGTGGTGAGTTCTCAGAAAACAATATCCGTCTCTTTCATACCCACGCCCAGGCTACGTTGGCAAAACAGTGTATGCCTCGCACGAAAGAACAGAGAGTCAATAATAAATTAAACAAGTGTGTACCCACAAAAATCGTTATAATTTGAATTAACAAAATAATCTGCGACACGGCCTTCCTGACATATCTCACGTCCTCGTGAGTCTATAACATAACGGTTTTACAAATTCATTCTCTTATCTTCATTCAAGTTTCTTTCTTCATTACATTTCTTCTTTTTTCTTCATTACATTTTCTTAGATCATTTCAGAATCAGAATCAAACAAACTATTTTAAAGTTTTCTCTTAGACTTCTTATTTCTTACTTTTAAACAACTTATGCCATGAGATCCGGATTACCACCAACTTAAGTCCAAACAATTCATTCGTTTTCAAACATCATGCCAACCACTAGCACACAGTCATCCACAAGATAAACTGGCCAGTCAATTATTAAGTTACTTTAGCCCACAGCTTATATCCTGACAAACCGGCCATCTGAAATAGCTCGGAATTTAGCCCACAGGCCGGCCAAATAACAATTCATCGAACGTTACCAAAATTTCAGCCTTCCTGCAACAAATGGCGAACCACATAACTCGGGCACCCACCTGCACAGAAAGTTCTGAAACCTGGAACTTATTCGAGCGTGTCATGACACGTCTTCAATCTACTTCAAAATCACAGCCCTCACCGGCTTGATCTGTGGCACCTTTACCACCACCTTCATCATTCAATTCCGTGGTCTCTTCATCACCACCTTCATCATCCAATTCCGTGGTCTCTTCATCACCACCTTCATCATTCAATTCCGTGGTCTCTCCATCACCACCTTCATCCAATTCTCTTCATCACCACCAAATTCCGTGGTAATCCCCTTCTCAGGCATATGTCTCAATAATTATTATTTAATTCCTCAAGTCTATACCAATCTCCTAATATTTCTGTCACTTAAAACGGTCCTCTTCCTATTTTTTTTTTCATTAACCATAAGTGCGCTTGATGTAATTGTTACACCGATGCCCCTACTCAAAATTTCGCAACCAATCGGAGCGTCGTACTTAATATGAACTACGTAGAGCTACGTAAAATAAGACATCAAAATAACGCTCACAAATCAAAACATATTGTTGTTGTTTATTTTTAATAATCTCGAGAACACAGTCTCTTCGATGAGCGGACACACGGAGTCGAAGTAAAATTGGAACGACTCACCAAACTGCAGCAACGTTCCTATGGGTCAAGTACGGTGCATATGTTCGCATCTTTGATTGTATTGCTCGTGACCAGTTAACGCTTCTGACGATCCGGGCATACCGTAGAAACATGTCCAGATTTTCCACATTTATAACAGATCACGGATGATAGATCTTTTGCTCCTTTATATCCAGATTGTTGATTGCGGGGCTGCTCCAAATGAGTTGTCTCTTTGTTAAAGCGACATTCCGCCTTCTTGTGGCCGGGTTTGCCACAGTTGTAACACGTGTCTCTTTTTCCTTCTGGTGCCGATACGTTGTCACTCGAATGCTGTCTCTGTCCGGCGTCAAACGAAAAGGCTTTGAGTTCCTGATGCAGCTCATTTCGGCTTTTGATGTCCGTCGTAAAAACCAAACGGCGCAACCGTGTATCTATGCCAGCTGCATGTGCCAACGTGACGGATACTGCAATCTGCTCAACGCTGAGCGACTTCCAGCGGGCCATTAGTGAGGTGACCATTCTGCTCCCATATAACGACAAGCACTCTCCTTCATTTGGGCGTGCGTTTAGCAAATTCATAACAGTCGCGGCCAAAGTCTCAGTTCCGGAAAAATATTGCAAAAATAATTCTCGAAACTGCGTCCATGTAATGCCGGGAAAACATGTCTGCGAGAGCCAGTGAGATGCGGTGCCCTCCAATGAATTGCTGAGGGCCATTACAAGAGCGCTCCCCACGAGCTGGTTTTCAGACAATATGTAGTCGACTGTTGAACACCAGGACAGCGCGTCTGATCCTGCCCGATCAGGGTTGAACTTTGGCAGCACAATGGTTTTTGCGTCTTTTGGTTCATTTCGAGAGCACTGTACTTGTTTTATTAACTCGACGAAATTACGGTTTTGCAGCTCCAGAATTGTTAGAAGATTTGCATCATTGGCTGGACGCGGAGGTAATCCCACTTCTGATGACGACGATCCAGCATCGGAGTCCTCAACTGGACTTTCTGCGAAACGTTTCCTGGCGCGTGGCATGATTCCTCAATTATTCAACCAATCTGCTTGCCACTCAAAAAACGCTGTGTCATTCATTTTCAACTCCTCTTTACCTTGCAACACACACGCAGGTGTGGTGAGTTCTCAGAAAACAATATCCGTCTCTTTCATACCCACGCCCAGGCTACGTTGGCAAAACAGTGTATGCCTCGCACGAAAGAACAGAGAGTCAATAATAAATTAAACAAGTGTGTACCCACAAAAATCGTTATAATTTGAATTAACAAAATAATCTGCGACATATGTATGTAGGGTTACTACAAATTAAGTTTATTTTATTTTAGGGTAAAGTTCACAAGATTATAAATGTTTAAATTATTTATGGAAAATTATTCTTCCGCACTATGGACGCACTCGACTTGCCTCGTTCAGTTTTCTACAGCGACTCATTTCGACTCTACGAATTTAGGGTTATGGACATTATGAAAGAAAGAGTGATGGCAGATCAAAGTTTGGAGTGGGACAACAATACTGCACTCCTTTGCTGATGAAATAGTGGCGGTTATGGTGAAATAGGAATTAGTGTGTACACTCCATGTTTATTAAGGCTGTCCCTAATACTCTACACTACTCCAATCCCACATGTATATGTAATATTTAGCAGCTATTTTTAGGAATTTACAATTTAGCTCAGAGAAACATTTTTCTGATAGTAAAAAAAGTTGATAAATACTCATTAGTATATTAAAACTGATTGCTGAAAAGGGAATGAAATGTGGTACATTCCTATTAATAGACGCAAGACAGAGATGTCAGATATGTGCAAATGAAAACATGGCTCGCTTATTTGCTGGTTGGTACGCTGACTATGCATTAAAGGCATTTGTACACCTGTATTAGGCATCTAATTAATTAAACAATTGTAAATTCCCTTGACAAATTAACGTCACCAGGCCTGACCGCACACAAACACGCATGATAGAGAGAAGGGAAGGGGGAACTCGAGTCCGGTGGAGTTTGCGTGAAGGGAGCTTGAGCTTCTTCCCACATCCTTGGACGAGACTGCACGAGTTCTGCGAACTGCCATGTTATTGGTCTGGGACAAACCGTACTGCAATCTCATGATCAATGTTTCCAGTTCCGACGTGCGCAAACAATTAAAGAAATTAAAACCTTTCGGGCAGGCACCAGTATCCAAGAGATAACGCACTCCATCAAATCAGCATCCCAGCCAAAATCAAGGTCGCCGCCAAAGGCAGAGTAAGTGCACTTTCTATACAACAGAAATACTGATAAGGCCAGTAAATGGAGTAGAGGTACATCCATATCAACTGAGAGAGGCTTTCATATAAAAACTGGCGACTCTTGCGAAACCGTCATTCGAGCCCATTGCTCCCTACAAGTCTACCGCAGCTTCCAGAAGCAACACGAAGGAATAGCTGCCAACAGAATGAACAGTGCAATAGGTATGAACTCAAGGACCTCGGACCCTCCAGGTCGAACGAAGACTAACCCGTCTCCCTCTTCCAGTGCTTGCCTGCGTCGCCATTTTGGTGGCGAGCACCAGTGCAGCCAGTCTGCAGCCCGCTGCGAAGACAATCAACAATCAGCTCTACAGGCGTTATGTGTGCGCTAACAAGCCTGATGGATTCCGTGTCCTCGTTCCGGGAAGTTGCTCCCAGTACTACGAGTGTCAGTCCGCAGTGGCCGTGGTGAACACCTGCTCCCGCTTCTTCGATGCCAAGGTCCAGGGATGTGTCAATTATAACACAGGCTGCATTGAGGTTCAGTCTGCATCCTCGATGGCAGTTGCTGCAGATTCTGCATCGCCCTGTGCCGAGGCAACGACTACTACTTGTGCTTCCGTTGTAGAGACAACGACCACTTGTACACCAACACCAGCCGAGACGATTACTACCACTTGTACTCCAACACCAGCCGAGACTACTACCACTTGTACAACAACAACCGCCACAACAACAACTGCTACAACAACAACCGCTACAACAACAACGTGCACTACCACGACCGCCACAACAACAACTGCTACAACAACAACCGCTACAACAACAACCGCTACAACAACAACGTGTACTACCACGACCGCCACAACAACAACTGCTACAACAACAACCGCTACAACAACAACGTGCACTACCACGACTGCCACAACAACAACTGCTACAACAACAACCGCTACAACAACAACTGCTACAACAACAACTGCTACAACAACAACCGCTACAACAACAACGTGCAATACCACGACCGCCACAACAACAACTGCTACAACAACAACCGCTACAACAACAACGTGCACTACCACGACCGCCACAACAACAACCGCTACAACAACAACCGCTACAACAACAACCGCTACAACAACAACGTGCACTACCACGACCGCCACAACAACAACTGCTACAACAACAACCGCCACAACAACAACTGCTACAACAACAACTGCTACAACAACAACGTGCACTACCACGACCGCCACAACAACAACTGCTACAACAACAACCGCTACTACAACAACTGCTACAACAACAACTGCTACAACAACAACGTGCACTACCACGACCGCCACAACCACAACTGCTACAACAACAACCGCTACAACAACAACCGCTACAACAACAACTGCTACAACAACAACCGCTACAACAACAACGTGCACTACCACGACCGCCACAACAACAACTGCTACAACAACAACCGCTACAACAACAACCGCTACAACAACAACGTGCACTACCACGACCGCCACAACAACAACTGCTACAACAACAACCGCCACAACAACAACTGCTACAACAACAACCGCTACAACAACAACGTGCACTACCACGACCGCAACAACAACAACTGCTACAACAACAACCGCTACAACAACAACTGCTACAACAACAACCGCTACAACAACAACCGCTACAACAACAACGTGCACTACCACAACCGCCACAACAACAACCTGCACAACAACAACCGCTACAACAACAACGTGCACTACCACAACCGCCACAACAACAACATGCACAACAACAACCGCTACAACAACAACCGCTACAACAACAACTGCTACAACAACAACCGCTACAACAACAACGTGCACTACCACGACCGCCACAACAACAACTGCTACAACAACAACCGCTACAACAACAACCGCTACAACAACAACGTGCACTACCACGACCGCCACAACAACAACTGCTACAACAACAACCGCTACAACAACAACGTGCACTACCACGACCGCCACAACAACAACTGCTACAACAACAACCGCTACAACAACAACGTGCACTACCACAACCGCCACAACAACAACTGCTACAACAACAACCGCTACAACAACAACGTGCACTACCACGACCGCCACAACAACAACGTGCACTACTACGACCGCCACAACAACAACTGCTACAACAACAACCGCTACAACAACAACCGCTACAACAACAACGTGCACTACCACAACCGCCACAACAACAACTGCTACAACAACAACTGCTACAACAACAACGTGCACTACCACGACCGCCACAACAACAACTGCTACAACAACAACCGCTACAACAACAACGTGCACTACCACGACCGCCACAACAACAACTGCTACAACAACAACCGCTACAACAACAACGTGCACTACCACGACCGCCACAACAACAACTGCTACAACAACAACTGCTACAACAACAACGTGCACCACCACGACCGCCACAACAACAACTGCTACAACAACAACCGCTACAACAACAACGTGCACTACCACAACCGCCACAACAACAACCTGCACAACAACAACCGCTACAACAACAACGTGCACTACCACAACCGCCACAACAACAACATGCACAACAACAACCGCTACAACAACAACGTGCACTACCACAACCGCCACAACAACAACATGCACAACAACAACCTGCACTCCGATACAAGCTGAGACTACGACAACCTGCGCTCAATCTCCGGAGACTACAACAACCTGTGCCCAATCTCCAGAAACTACCACCACTTGTGTGGAAGTAACCACTGCCTGCAGCGGAAGCTCTGCCGCTAAGGCTCAAGTCTCCTCCATGAAGGTGCGCCCTGCTAGACCTATCCGACCGGTTAAATTAACTCTGTTCGAGGCCGCACAGCTGGCTGCCCAGCAACCTCAGGAGCTGAGCATCGCCACCTACACTAAGTATGTGTGCCGCAATAAGCCCAACGGCTTCATGTTGGCTTCGCTGAAGAGCTGCTCCGACTACTACGTCTGCCGCTACGGAAAACCCCTGCAGGTGAGCTGCGGCGACAAGTACTTCAACGCGCTCAAGGGAATCTGCGATCTGCCCGAGAACACCCGATGCGTGCAGCCCCAGGCCTAAGGAAAGAACAGATTCTAACTCTGCTCGACTTCCCTGATAGAAACACCACGATTTGAGCCTCCGACCCCACCTTGACTTGCGTGTCCGATCGAGTCCTAAAATATTATATCTTATAAATGTCATAATAGATGCAAAAGCTAATACAAGCTATAAAAATTGAAATATTTTAAATTTAAATTTTAAAAAGAATCAAAACGGGGTAAAAACAAGGGAAATGTGCATGAGAAGGTCAAGAAGGTCTTGCCTAAAGTCACGTCGACTTTCCCTAACCTTAAGCGTTCGTGTCGTTCGAATCTTGCAGATCATTGGCCATCTGGTGGATCTAAAGATATCCTTTGCCTGTTAGTTACATTCCTAGTTTGGTTTGAGGAATTGTACACTTGTCTCCTTTGCGCACCTGGTATAAATATATCATCATCATATATCCAAACCATATCTGCCAATAATATTCGGCTCAAAGACACCTGGGCTTTTGACTCCTTTTAGACCCCCACATCCCATTAAAGTCAAGATCTGGACCCAAAACCAATGTGATGCAGAGCACAGCAGGCACCAAAGCTGACCACAATGCGCTTTAAGGCTTATCGAAGGGTTGGAGCCTACTGGAAAAATTGGAGCTAGTTTTGGCCTCGGATTAGATACCGATGTCTGTGCCTGCCCATAAAATGCCTGCTTAATCCCAAAGGCTGTGCCTTACCGTCGCTGTGCCGAAGGCACACGTGCCTCACCATTCACCGAAGGAGTTCCTTTGCGTTAAATTAAAAATGTCAAGTCGACATACCTGAAAACTCGTAAATAACGCGACACAAACGTAAATAACACGACAGCAACAGAGGATACCAAACTTCCCCTCCCTATCTTCTTAATTAAAAAAAAAAAACAAAACAATAATTTTACAAAACCGCGAACAATTGAGCAACGAGAATTAGTTCTTAATTATTTTAAAACAGGGATAGAGTCAACGTGTTACTGCGGAAATTGTGTCCTTCAGTCCAAGTACAGTACATAAATCCAACCGGTGTATCTGGGAATATCGGGCTGAAGATAAGGGTCGAAATGCACCGAATAAGATTTACAACGAACATGAGGCGCGACGTATTGTTCGGTAAGTTAAGAAAAACCCAAACCATCTGCTCCAAAATTTCCGGTGAGATAAAGCACGAAATGGGCAAGAAATGTAGTGCTGATACAGTGCGCAGAGTATTAGGTGAGAACAACTTCAATTGTCGAGACGCCCGCAAAAAGCCATTTATGTATATGTAAAAAGAATAAGGAGGAACAGAACAACCTGATCAAGAAACTTGTATAGGAAATGCAAGCGAAAGTGCTGAACGCTTTAGGCAAGCGTTGTGCGTACATTTCCAATAAATACTTATTGATTTGCATATACATTTTAAATTTATAGATTATTATTTTAATTGTTTGTTTTATGTTTATTTCTGTCTTCCTAAAGCAGAGTCCTCCGCCATCATCATTGCCGCATGCTTTTTTTTTTCTGAGTTCTTCAAATTGGTCTCGACAATTCTTTCACTGGCAAGTCTCAGGAAAGGACGACTGGCTAAGAAATTTTCCGTCCGTGCCCCCAACGACAGCTCTTATTCTTCACACATTGTGTGATACAAAAATCTGTTTCAAGAAGTTTTGAAGCTGCCAAGTTTAAATTAAATACTAATAAAATGTAAACTTAGAGTATCCTTTTCTAAATCAAGCACTAATGTAATTGCGAAATTAAAAAAGCCGCAAAATGTACCAATTTCATTGGGTGTTTTTCAAGAAGTGGCTACAAAGTGGAAGAGCGCATTTTTAATGAAAAAATCAAATCTAAATTAAAAATCTAAACGCCTACATTGGTAAAGTACTCCTTGAATCACCGACAGCTCCACTTCCGTTATCATTGGGTGATATTAAAACCATATCCGAGTTTTCGAATTGGCGGCCATGATATCTCCAGTTCAACTGAACCGATTTTCATAAAACAAAGTGGAATCGACGCAGATTTGTCACCATTCTCGGGTGACAGAAGATTTTAATTTAAAAAAAATGTTATTATTTTTTGTTTACACTAAACTACAAAAAAAAGCCCGAAATTGAATTTTTTGTGTGAATGGCCGCCATTTTGTCAAAAAAAATTACAAAATTATTGCCGAGTTTTTTTTCATTTCAAACGCCCCGGAGACCCGGAATCGTGGCCGCCGTGACGACACCTCTTGTTCCACCACCAACTTTGAAGTCTCATTACTTTTTGAACAAACAATTTTCTTTATTTACTTTGAACCTTTTGTAATACAATAAATAAAAAAAAAGTTTACAATTATTTTTTCCGTTTTTAAAAAAGAATTTTTTTAAAAAGGGTCCAAAACGGGTTTTGAATAAGAACACCCCCTTAAATGGCCAAAGTTTACGAAATAATTAATTAAGACCACCGGAATTAAAACTGTGAAAAGTGTGGCAGCATCTTAGATGCCTAGATTTGCTGAACTCTAGAACTTTTTGCCCTTTTCTGGCTGAGAAAAAGGGCAATTGTAAATATAATAGGCAATACTTTACGTTGTTTGCTTTTTACCAAAAACAGAAATTAGCTGCTTGAGCAGTGAGAAACGATGAGAAAATGAAACATTCCAATAGCAGAAATTTGCGAAAACCGGGGCAGCTAAAAACGAAAACGGTTCGATTTCGCCCAAAACGAAAAAGAAAAAATTTTACGATTACCGGAGCAGGCCTGATTGTTTGTTTAACCTAGGGTCAATTATATAATCAATTATAGTTTTCATAAGTTATAATGTTGTCACTAGACTTCAGTCCGTACTTTATGGACTCCAAAGTATGTGAAAAACCATAAGTTATTGGAATAATGATATCGTCACTGATGTTTTAGAATATACTTGTCACGTAGTAGTCTCAAGTGTATCAAGTACCTTTGAAAGATTTCGGAACACGTTTTGTGAGCCAAGATATGAAGAAAACTGTAAACGCGATTCTTCAAAGGTTTTTTTTAATAGATCGAAAGTTCTAATACCCCCAAAACCAATAGAAATCATTAGAAAATTTAATCGTTTACATGTTGGTACTTTATTTTGTTCAAATCAGTGCTTTAATAAATTCAAAATAAACAAGAAAGGAAGCTAACTTCGGTTTGCCGAAGTTTGTATACCCTTGCAGATTGGTTTTCATATTTATATTATAAATTTAAATGCTTAAAACACACAAAACAGAGTTTCATTACATTTTACCTATACTTATTATGTTTACAGTTTGACAGTTACAGTTTTACATTCACCATTTTCTCTACGTCTACCGATCGCTCTTATACCAAAATTCTACAATAATAAAAAAAGCTCATATCTCAGAGTAGATGAAAATACGTTGAAAAGCACCGAAGTTAAAATTTGTTTTCCTATTAATTTCCTGATCGATCCTATGGCAGCTATAAGATATACAGGCCTGCTCCGGTAATCGAAAACGGCAAGAATTTTTCGTTTTCGTTTTTGAAAACGAGAAATTGGTGCTCCGGTAATCGAAATCGAAAGATTTTTTCGATTTGAAAACGGGCACCTTTTTCTGGCCGGAATGAAAAGTAAATGGCTTTTTTTATATGAAATCAGATCTTATTTACATACAAAAGGAAAAAAATAGTTTACTCAGTGGTCTATTGATGTTTATTCCACAACAGCATAAGATCATTCTGGCAGGTAGTTATTTTATAAAAAATTTATTTCTGACCCCACCTCAGATTTGACAACAACATTTTTGTCGTGTTCAACCTGTTTTCTCGGTTTGGCGATAGGTCGATAAGTTCACAGCAAAAAGTTATCGCCAAGGTTGCCATATTGTTGGTGGAACGAAACATCCAGTTAAAAATACTTATAAAATATAAATGAATACATTAATAACTTTAAAGGACCGCCAAAATGGTTGTTTAAAAATAATGCTATTTAATTGTACTACTTAAATAGTCCAAATTAACAAAATAATTATTTGAGACCACCGGAATTAAAGTCGTCCGATTTTAATAAAATTTATAACAAAATTCTGAAATAATACCAACAGCTCATGTTTCAAATTAGATTAAAATACGATGAAAAATAACGAAGTTTTAATTTTTTTCGATTAATTTCCCGATCGTTCCTATGGCAGCTAGTATAGAAAAATATTCCACCGTTTACCAGATCTAATAAACTTTCTTTTTTAGGAACCTCGACGGCTATGAATGCCAGGATACTTTCCCATTTAGAGGGTATTCGTACTCATTTGGTGTCTCCGAAAATGGTGTTCCCCTCAAAACTGAGGAGGAAATGGCCCAGCTGATTAATAAAATTAAGGAGACTCTATCCAATTATGTAAGTATAATAATAAATTAAGTGTGTTTCAAATTTTTAAATAATATTTACTTTTTGATCGATGCCTTTAGGAAAATGGTGGGACCGGAAGGACTCGTAAAAAATCTGGAGCGATTTTTTGCCAGAGAAAATGAACTACGCAGGAGGTCCGGATAAAATTGCGTTATCAGAATTTTCGCATTTAAACGACGCGTTGTTTGGTACGTATTAACTATCTTTATATGAATTTATTAATTATATTTATTTATAAATGGTGTTTTTGTCATTTGTAGAATCTTCTAGCTCAGAGGGCCGCAGCTTTGGCGACTATGAATAAAAAGGAACCCGACGCCTTCGCAAAAGCCAAACAGGCCACGTCGAATGCAAAAAAATTTTAGCCCAACATCCCGAACTCGGAATAAGTTTTGATTTTTTTTTTTTGTGTTTTTCTTATTTTTTAGTTTTAATTTATTTTAAGATTTGAATGTCGTTCCTTATTTTATATAATATGTATAAAAACAAAACGCGTTCCTATAAACTATAATTAAAAATAAAAACAAAATTTATTTGTAAACAAGTTTTAATGATTTATTTTATTTATTTTTGTACTCTCTGGGGAGGAAGAATTTCTTCCAATATCAAATTTTTTATACTCTCTGGGGAGGAAGTATTCCATCAAAAGGC